CATGTGTGGTCGTAAACAGGCCAGTGCATGTCTTCTGTATCAACGAATTGAGGAAAAGCTCTAACTAACTAAACTTAAGCAAAGTCTCAAGCACAAAGAAATAAACAATATATAGCGAAATAATATTGTTTGGTTCATTCATAAAGGCTGCCATTGACAATCTGTCCTTCAATTCTTGGATGTGACAGCTGTGCTAGTTATTAGTATGCTGTGATTTTGATTAAGCATCTGTGTGTCTGAGATTTAACAGGAGCTGATGGCATAGCTTGATTGCAGAATCCAAACAGATTTGGAGCACCTGGTACCAGATCCCTTTTATGTACAGGCTTTCTAGCTGCAAACATTAAGTATATATATTTTTGTACCTTCTTCAAAGTATGGCCTCATTTAATTATTTATTTCATTACTAAGTTATTTTGTGTCAATTATAAACAATAGCATTATGAAGGGTAACAGGAAAATTCTAAATTAGCTTTCAAGTTGTTTTTTTAAGTATAGGTACTGTTTTCCTCGCTGCAAGTCAGAAGAAAGACGCTTTTATAAAATAAAAGGTTTACATTTAAATTAAAAACTTCCAGTGGAATGAATATAGGTTCAACATACTTTTTATGATGTTTTAGAAAATGTCCACCTCCAACTTTTTATGCAAACAATTAAAAAATAGTCTGATTCTAAGTTCAGGGTGAAACCGATGGCTTGGGTGCAGAAAAATGACCAAATTTAAAGAGAAATTCTGCAAGCAATCCTTCAGTAAAAATTGGATTGTAAGGGGGTCACATGATGACAGAATGGCCAATAAGGAAGTAGAGAGCTCTCTTAGCACATAGATGATTGTCAGTTAATATTTATCTTGTGGCTGGATTGTTGTGGCAGCCCTCAAATTTGCAGTGTGTAATTTTGAGCACATTTAATAGATATTTATATAAGCAGTATATTTCTTGTCTGTTTAGGGTATGTGCAATTATATTCGACCGATCTCTACAGTCAGTAGTTTGTCAGCTGTGCGCTGCTGTAATGGACAGATGTCGCCCTCCAAAAATGCAAGTCCTGTACAATTATAAATGACAATTTGTAAGTCAAAACAAAGCTAAAGAGTTTTATTCCAAAAAAGTTAAAAACCAATCCATTGGACTTTTTTTTTTCCAAGTTTGAAGAAGCTTCGCTTCGCATCCAGGAAGCTTTACTTTAATTCAAAATGTCAGACTTAGCACTGAGTTTGAAGCTTTAAAGAGTGCCCCCCCCCAAAAAAGCCTTGTTTTGGCTTAGAAAACATGCAAATTGAACCGGAGGAACGGGTCCACCCCTTAGGAATGGGGGTTCTTTGTTTGCCTGCAATACTCAAGAGTTTTTGTTTGATCACAATAAATGATATACTTATGTATAATGTATTATACTTCTCCCAATAAATAATAATTATACACACAGGAGCTTTAAAGTCATGGGGTTTGCTGGTGTAAAGGGGGCCTATATTCAGTGTAAGAATTTGTCTTATTCTCTGTGTCATTAGCCCCATTAAGAATTGCATAATCTGGTTTAATCTGTTGCTCATTGGACTGTATATAACATTTATTTGTCACATGTAATTAGTCTATGTAGAATTGATAGAGTAATGCCATTAGCAGACTGAGAAGACATTATATGATGCTTTAAAGCAATGAGGAAATAATATAGACAAGGACATAAATAAAGAGAGAAACATGAGCATGTAATGAGATGCTAATGAGACAGATAAGTCCTAACACAACCTTGGTCCCCCAGGTGAGTCTCTCTCATTAATTTGTGGGGAGATGGGAAACAGAATGACAGGCGTAAAGACTGCATATTCAAAACAAAGGTGGTCAGAAATTGTGAGAACTGACAGATAAGCAAAGACCTAACTGAACACTTAAGGAAAGGCAAATAAAGAAAAGGGTCTAAAGTCCATAATGGCAGAGATTGAAAACGAATGAAGGTAATCCTGAAGGGTTGTTCAGCTCTTAAAATCAAATCTGATTACATAAGCATTGCCAATATTTGTAGACTGATTTTAGCTAAGATCTAGATAATATAAAGATTCCCTTTAATGAGTCTTAATATTGAACAAACAAGACAAATCATGTATTAGTAAAGATGAATAAAATTATCAATAATAATATAAAGGAAAGATGGAGTACAACTTTTAAACAATAAAGTTTAGAGAGTGCAGTCAGTTTTACAGTTTTCTGGGAATTTGTCCCAGATTAGTGGAGCATAAGAACTACAATCTGCTTCTCTTTGGTTCTAGTTGTGAGTATGCAGAGTAGATTTTAAGCCAGTGGACCTAATCACTCACACAACGACCCAAATTATGGAAACATCAGGAAAAAAGAACATGAGAAATTGGAAAAACACCAAGACCTCAGGGAAGAACCAGAGAGCTTGGAAGGTGAAGGCAACTGTAGTGCCCATGGTTATTGGAGCACTCAGGGTAGTAACCACTACACTGGAATATAGCCTCCAAAAGATAAGTGGACAAACATTAGAGATTATAGTCCAGAAATGCACAGATCCAGAGAAAACTAACATACTGCAAAGAACACTCTGGTAGAGGACCTGAGCTGATATGAACGAGCCCCCCAGGAGCATGACGGGTGGGTGAGAAAGCAGTTTTTTTTTTTATGTCTGTGCATACAGAGAGCGAGATATAGATTGGAAAATGAAACATTTATAAGAATTGCACAATTCATACCATTTGTACTGTTATAAAATCATGTTTAAGGCTCTCTCATAATAATGATCAAAACAATTGCAATCATCTTGATGGTTACACATATTCATGTAGAAGGCCTGTTTTAAGAGGGTATCAGTATCTAGCTTTTATCCATGAATGTATTTCATTTGCCAGGTGGCTTTTATGTCCATGCTTGGTTATCTGGGTCAGGTAAAAATATGTGTCAAAGTATCAGGCACAGGATGGAATCAGGCAGCTCTGTAACTCAAGCTCTGACTTAAAACAGCCCACCTGCAATATAGCGTTCATGTTCTGCCCCAAGCTCAGAACCCATGAGCTTGCTTCTGAAGAGATGAAAGCATAAAAGGGGTGTAGGGTTATTTAATTTTCTTTAATATTCTCTGCATCTTTTTGGAGACATGTAGAATATTTTTATGTTTTTAAACTATAAACAATTTTGCTCTAAGCATGGCCCTGCAAATATGCTCATACAAAGACACTCATTCATGAATCTTTGATGTAAAAGTGCAATTTAAAATATTGATTCCACCTAAGAAGAGACTGAATTGGAAATAAGTAGTTCTTAGGAGAAATAAAAAGAAATGAGCACAATCAGAAATCCATTAAAGATGAGAGTCTGATGATTAAATTCTGTCATTGGCAGGAGTTGGCTGAATAACAGACCAGTCCAGTGTCAAATATTTCTTTAAGTGCTATGTTATTCAACTAAAATTGTGATTTAAAAAAATGCAATCAAATATAGAAAGAACAAACCACACAGACTTTCAGCTATAAATGTATAAAATTATTGTTTTAGAGATCCATTGTCACTATAAGAACTGCAGCAGCAAAAATATTGAAGTAATGAAAGCTGGTTTATAGACATAACCTACAATGACCATGTTAATATGAAGGGTAGAAATCTGATAACTGGGAAAATAGGGTAATTGCTGTATCAGATCTAAAGTGTTTACATGTACCACGAATACATAATACTCAGGAAGCCTTTATTTTCATGTTGCAGCCTGCAGTCACATGTTTGATGATTGCTGGAGGCATGTTCAGAATCAAGACTGTGGAGAGAGAGTGGTGCTTAAAGAATTTACGGACGTTCGGTGGAGAGACAGCTTCCGGATGTCTTTGAGAGCATTAATCAGACTTTTCAAGCTGACCAAGAAGCGAGGCAGCATTTCATGGTAGATTTGGATTTCTTTCTCATTTCTGTGAGCGAATGAAGAGATTCTAAACCCAGTCTGAGACAGCATCTCAAGAGAGAACCTTGTGCATATATCTCCCATCAAAAAAACAAGGAGAGCCTTCACAAACTATTTAACCAGTATCTCATGACAACTTTACAGTACGCAAAGCTTTTACTGTCTTAGCTCCCCCGTCTGCTCACCGTTTCTCTTTCTTTGGATTTTGGTATTGCAATTTTGAGAAATCTGAGAACAGCAATTACCTGATTTAGCTGATGGGAATTCCCTGTCTCCATGATCACTTCAGAAATCCGATAACCCCAAAAATTAGAGTGCAGTCAAGTTTTGGTCTGCATGTAACTGAAAACATGGGAAATTTTAACAAGGTTTCCAAAAATACATATTTTAAGAAAACCTTTTAAGTCTAACACTAAATAGCGCTTGATCATAAAGATGAGGGAATGTGGTTTTGAAATTTTTTTTTCCACAAAATAAAATGCTGTGGAGTGATACTTATATTTCAATATCCTTACATTCTACAAAAAATATGACCCAACACAATGTCTCGCATGAGATACTCAGTTCAGTGAGGGAGGATGAACAGTGGAGCCACATATAGAGGAGAAGAACTCCATTCTGCACTTTGAAAGACTTTATGTAAAGAGGTTGAAGTAGACGTTCTGGTCAGACGAAAAAAAAAAAAAAATTATAGAGGTTTTCCAGCCGGACAAGGATCTTAATCATATAGCTTCACTGAAATGTCTCCATCAAAGCATATCCATGTGTTAGAATGGACCAGAACCAAAGATCAGAACTAAATAGAGGATAACGTGTGAAAATAGATGTCAGCAAATGCTCTGCCTCTGTGTGCAAATGTAAGGGATGGTGCAAAGATAACTCAGTAGGTTCGTAATGCAAGAAAACACACACAGAAAGACCTGCAACTATAAAAGACTGTCTCTTCTGAGTATTGACTGTTAGGGTTGATTTCATACGAGCTGCACTTTTGTAAAACTTTTTTAGTAAACTACAAAAGAAAAGAGAAAATAAATTTCTTTCCCTTCATAATTGTTTGCCCTAAAATAACTGTTGCAAAGGATATAAAGTAGTCTCACCTTAAACTCTGTTTCGATGTTGGCGAGTCTTGCCAGTTCATTGCTGAGCTCAAGGGCTGTTAGGACAGGGTCCTCACTGCTGAGTGACAGGTAGGCTGCACTGGCCAGGCCCTTGTATGCATTCATTCTGGAGCGTGAGTGACTGAAGGAGTCCTTCTTCTGTTTCTCCATACATTCCAAGCATTTGCAGAAGTAGTCATGGGGCCTTTCTATACGCGCCCCCTTCGTCAGAAGTATGTGAACAATTTCATACTCCTGGCAGTGAGCTGCCAAAATGATGGGTGTGATATCATGCGAGAAACGAGTTCCATCCTCGTCATATGCGTAAAAGTCATCATCGCGCATCTCTTGCTCCAGAGGACTCAAAGCCAGACGGAGACCTCCACCAAAAGCAGGATGGCCGAGAATGGCCTCCACTATTCTGACATAACCTTTGGAAATGGCCAAGAGCAGGCCGTCCCCGATCCGAGCCAACCCATCTTTTTTCAGCAGCAGTTCAGTAACTTCCAGGTGTTCATTGCCTACTGCCAGCTGTAAAGCATTCTGGCCCATGTAGTCCACACAATTGAAGTTCAGTGTTTTGGACTCTTCCAGCATTTTGCGCACCACAGGAATGTTTCCATATTCTGCAGCATCCAGAAACCGTTCCTCTTCTGCAGTGAGAGCAGAGCCGCGCTCATTGAACATGTAGGCAGGACCCCGCACTGCCTGGCGACGCCCCTTTTCCCTCAGAGTGGTGTGCCGGCGATGCATGGCTTCTACCCTGGAAGAGGAAAATAACGTAGAATCAGTTAAAAAACAACTTAATAAGACAGAATCAGTGACCAGATGAAAGAAAATCCTTACAAGTTATAATAAACTGTGAAAGAATTTCACAAAATCTAGTGGTTTATCACTATGTGTGAACTGAAACACAAATTTACATCTGGATTTTACAGAAAAGGCCATAAGAGCAACAAACAATCCTTATTAAAATAATATTAAAATCAAATTGCTACTAAATCTAAAAATGGTTATAGGTTTGGTTGGCATGTATAAAACCATATTGTTAATTCCGTTGGCAGTATTAAGACAAACACACTCATTGAGCTTACATCATCATGTGCATTAAAGAATGGCTTTAGTACTATGTCTTACATTGAATTTCTATGTGTCTATTTAGTCATTAAGAGGAAGAATTAAAGTATTTCATTCAGGTGCAGTAAATGAAAAAAATTGGTTTATGAAAATAGACTTTTAATCTATATTTCTACATAAAAGCAGCTGAAAAATTGTTAAATAATTATGTTAATATTGTTACTTTTACATAAATGCCTTAATGCTCAGTTTCAAAACAAAAGCTTCAGCTAAATTACAAGTTTGTAATTTCAGGCATTTCCTTTTTTCTCTGTACTTTATGGATGTGTGGATGGAAAGCATGACATTGAAAAAGAAGGCGAAAATGGAAACCTGTGCGTGCTAGATATATTCACCTGGGGGTTTCTATGGATATGGGGCTGAGAAAAAGAACTGAGCTCACAACGCCAAATCCCATGTGCATGTTTTAGAGACTGTGTATTTTCTGTGTGTGGTTAAACAATATGAAAGGTCAGCAATGTTTTAATTTTTCATTTACACAATCAGCAGCTCAGGCTGACAATCACTGTAAGAGGGAAACAAATCATTGCTTCTTTTCATTCCTCATACATTGAAGTTGCCAAACTAGCCATGCATAATGTTGACATGGCATACATTATCTGCAACATGCGTGGTTAATTAATAAAAAAAATGCCTTACGGCAAAGGGTAGTTTTGTTCAGCTTTTGAGTTACACGAACCACAAGCAAAACCTGCTGCATTTCAAAGCATTAAGAGGTTTCCTCATAAACAGAAGCACAGCCTGGCAGCCAGCCCATTCGGATAACCTTATAGTCGAGTAATAAATTGCTTTTTCCATCTCTTTTAATCTCTTTTTCCATCCATCTTTGATTGTTTGTGATGTGGTCTTGCAATATAATTTATTTGCATCATTTTAATGTTGAATTATGACAATTTGAAAAAGAGGAGGCACAGAATGGAGACAGATAGATAGAACAATACTGTTTGCGTGTTTTGAGGGGGAAAAAAACAGAATCCTCTCTAAAAGAGGGATTGCTTATCTTCCTCATATAAAACATTGTTCATAATGCACAAGGATATTCCTAAAATGGGATAATTTTCTAAATTCTTTAAAAACTAGGAATAATTATATAGCATAGAAAAAGTAAGAAGTTCCTAATGCTTCTAATAATAAACCAATATTTTAAAAGTTAGCTAATGTCTTGCTGTTGAACTGATCAATTATATTCACAAAACAATATCTGACTTTTCCAAACAATTAGTACAAAACAAATACTTTACATCTCTATGTTAGAGGAACAGACTGAACTCAATAACATAGAAAACCAGTTGGGTTTAGAAACTCTTGTGCTGTAGACTGTTGGTTTCTTTACCTATAAAAGCAAAGATTTGGAAAAAAAAATTAAATTATTTTTGCTCAAAGCGTAATGTAATATATATAATAACAAAATTGCCATTATATCAAATGAAAAAAGAAAGGGATTTTGAACTTTTGTTTAAATATACATATTAGAACATTTTTTATCATTTTGTATTTATGAGAATTGATTTTTTTTACCAGAAGTCTTAAATGTCTATTCAGCGGCAATGACTGGTCAAATCCAACACCATTATTTCTGAGGCGGTGCAGGCAAGAACAGCCCAGACCTGCTGTTTGATTCCAAGCACTTTTGGTCCATGATCAAGGCTTTGGTTCAGTCTGAAAGAACTTAGATAGGCCATAGTTTATGGCCTATCTAAGCATAAGGAAAATGCTACTGATATTCAAACAGTATAATGCTCATCAAGAAATATATGGCCATAACAATAAATACCTGAAACATGTCCAAAGTTCATCTGTAAATTGGAAGGGAATGCATGAGCAAATCTGACATTTCACATATTGAGGAAAAACCTTAAGGCCAAGGTCTTCAGATTGGGGGCCACAACATGCAAGGGTGTCCTTGCACAGGGTATCCATCAATCAAAAGTCTGGGACTGAAAAAGGTTGAAGCCCTAAGGGGCTGCACTGAAAACATCCTGAATGCAAAATTTTTTTCTATAGGGTAAAATTTATGTCAACTAATTTGAGCATAATAAAAACACAATTGATTTTCACAAAGGCTCTAATTTTAGAGTGAGAACTGATTATATATGAAACCATATGATTGTATAATATGGACTAAAATATAATGCATGGACCAAGCTATGCTCACCTTTAGTGCTACCCAAATAATAAAACAGATACTGTATATACTATTCTATAAACTTATGACACTGATTTAGACAAACATAACAGCAATTAAATGTATAAAATCAGATGCATTTAGCAGTTTGCAAATCTAAAAACAATGCTAAGGAAATTAGAGTTAATCTTATGAAGGCAAATGTAGCCTGTTACTTTGAAAACAGTTCAAGCCTCAGCAAAACGAGTGGAAGTTAAACTAATTCCAAATTAGTGTAAAAAAAAAAAAAAAAAACTTAATTGGGAATAGATGACAAAAAAATAAATTAAAAAATAGTTAATAAAAAGGCTTGAAACAACACACTAATAGAAAACAGATTAAATTGTGGCTCATCTGAGTTTTCACAAATACAGAAGTTTTAGAAGACACATGCTACAGTAAGTGTTTAATGTGAGTGCATCGGCAAGGTCTGTAATATATTGCATTCAATCATATTCCTTTAAATCACAATGATGTACTGCATCACTGGTAGAGATAAGGATTACATTGGCAATAATAAAGATAAACAATCTGAATTTGTAATAATACATCTAAACAAAACACCAAACTTGTCATATGAAAATAACTTTTTTTTTGTTTCACAGGCACAATACATCAATAAGGCAGTTGCTAAATCCATCACATAATCTGCGAAAGTTGAAGCTATCTAAGGAAAGCTGATGATCTTAAACACCGTAACAGACCAGCTTTAGAATTGGATAAACAATTAATGTAGTAATAAAACATCCATATCAGTTTATAGGTTGAGGTTAAACATCCATATAGTTTGAGGTTAAGACATCAACTCATAAGTCATATCTATGAAGTTTTATGGACCAGACCATACCGAATTTCTTCTAATACACAGCTTTACACCAGGTGACTATGAACCCATCAGAGCGTTGGCTAGAGCACTGAGCTAGAGGCTTAGAACAGATCAATATGTGGAAGCACCACAACTTTCTACAACTGAATAAAAATAAAACTGTAGTAATCTTCAGACCAAAGGAAAAGAGATCCAGTTAGCTCACACTGTAAAGGCAGTTACCAGGTCAGCTTTTTATCATCTGAAGAACATTTCCAGGATGAAAGGATTAAGGTCCAAGAAGGATCCAGAAAAACTCATTCATGCTTTTATCTTTAATAGAATAGACTATTGCAACAGTGTCTTCATAGGTTTGCCTAAAAAGTCCAGACAGCTGCAGCTGATCCAAACGCTGCTGCCCGTGTTCTCACTAGAACTAAAAAGTTGAGCACACACTTCTGAAGTCCTTACACTAAGCTCCCTTTAGCTCAGAGAATAGACTTTCAAATTCTTCTGCTAGTCTATAAATCACTGAATGGATCTACACCTCAATACATAAGAGATTAATTGTCAGTGTATCAACCTCCCAGCCCACACAGGTCTTCTTGTTCCAGCCTACTCTGTACAACCAGAACTAGAACCAAACATGGAGAAGCAGCATTTAGCTCCTATGTTCAACCTGTCTGGAACAAACTTTAAGAAGACTGTAAAAGTGCTGAAGCCCAAGTACTTTTAAGTCAAATTTAAAAACCTATTTTTTAGAGCTGCCTTTGAATGTTGAAGTTAAACTGTTAAGTGAGGTTTTATTAGTTTAAGATTGTGATCCAACTATTTGTTTGTTTTACTAACTGATATTATAATGCCTTTATCCTCATTTGTTTTTTTTTGCTTTGAGTTTTTTTTATTTTATTGTTTAATTCATGTAAAGCATGTTTAATTTGTCCTTGTACTGAACTGTGCTGAACAAATAAACCTGCATTGCCTTCAAAATTCTACAAGCATGAGCTCTTTCATGATTAGTTTGATCAGTCATCCTGTCTCCTGTTTCATTATATAAAGAAAGGAAAGTTTTTTTTTTCTGAGGTTTTATTTTTTCTTTATTAACAGGACAACAACAAAGAATCAGATTATCGTTTTATATTCTGCTAGAGTCGAAAGTTCTGTTGGTTTTTACTATTATTTTCCCTTCATTGTTCATGCTTATGCATCTCTTTCAGTCAACATTTCTGCCACCTTTATTTAATGACATCCATCACAAACAAAACTAGCACCAGGTCATTTATTATCAGAAGATGCAATAACTTATGCAAGGTAATTTACAGTAATGGGAGAGAAGACAAGGAAATGGATTTGAATTAAAGTCAAATCAATAGTTTTTAGATCAAAAGGTAGCATTTACATTTTAATGTCTTGGTAATGAAAAACAGACCAGACCACCTTGTCTTGCTTGCCTCTTGGACAACACCCATGCACAACCACACTGAGCTGACAGGCGTTAGTGAGAGCCAACATGCTTCTTTTACATGTTGGACCTTTCAAGTTGAACAGTGGTGTATCAAAGAGGCAGACCAGGGAAGATCAAAGAGCCAATACAGAGGCCTGTCATTCATGTCTTCTGATAGTAGCGGCTTTAAGCTGCTAATTCTTTGTTACCTGTCTTTGTGCATGTTCCTCTAGATCTATGTGGATCACTTCCACTTGCAAGCAGCAGACTGTTTAATATTTTGAGCTTGTATCTCACAGCTTAGCAAAAACAGAGACTCTATGCTCAACTAAAGGCCAGTCAACGCATACAAAATGGTCACAATGTCCTACATCTAAACCTGACAGTATGGTCTCAAATTTTTCCCAGGTAGTACAAAAGAGAAACACCTTTAGCACATCGTGAGTTCAATAAATCAAAGTGGGACTGACCAAGGACATTTACACAATATTAGCAGATCAGGTTTAAATAATATTCAGTGAACCTGGTTAAAGCCTCTTCAGGTAAAAAAGAAATCAAAGCTATTGTGAGATCCATTATGATGTAGAAGAGAGTACAGGGCTTTTCTGCTCACATGCTTAGTGTAACTGACTCAGTGGAAATCCTGATCTACACTCACCGAGCCTGACATGTACCTGCTTACATAGGGATTTGGCGTTGGTCACTAAATTCTATTTATTTAGATTTATGCATTTTCAAATGTATTTCCAGTATCCACAAAGTTAATAAATTCACAGACCAGTCCCGTTTACTCCTCGGAGGGCCTCGACATTTCTTTCTGGACAATGCATTAAACTGAGAGTGAGAGAAACAAACAGACAGGACTCACGATTGCCGGGTATCTGAGCTGAACTCGGTGTCTATGTGCTCAGCAGAGAAGTGGTTCCCGAGGTCCGGCAGCTCCGGAGCCCTGTGGAGTCGCTGTCCGCGGTGCTGAAGGCGCTCAGTGCTCTCCGCGCCTCGTCCTCTCCACATGGGAAGCTGGACATCGTGCTCTTCATATTCGACATCTGTCCGCAAATCCGGCCGTGACCGTGATATACACCCGGTGTCCAAGTCAGGTTGGCGGAACTTTGGCGGCGTGAAATGTGTGGAACCCCCGAGATCCCGGCCCCCTGGAGAGGTGTGCAGACACTCCGAGGAGGAGAGAAAAGGCGGGTCCGATTCCCCAAGCAGCGGAGAAGCTGAGGAGAAGAGGTCCAGGGGCCGCGAAGAAGGAGACTCTCGGGGAAGACCAACAGATAGAGGCGGCGAGGAAGACTCCGACAGATGTGCTCTCCTGCCGCCTTCGCTTTCCTCTCCCGCGTCAGACATGGGGGGACCTCAGCAGCACCATGCACTTTAAATCATTTTAGCAAAGTAGCACATATTTTCCCTGTGTTTTACGAAGTTTCAGTTGAGCAAGTTGCTTCAGAACAAGGCGGCAGCAGGGAGCAAAAAACCTCCACCTTCACTCAAAGGTCCGCGCGCACTAATTAGAAAGAGCGCGCGCAGGAAGCCAGACCCATTACAAAATGGAAGGAGAGGAACAAGTGAAACCTAAACAAATATCACATAACTATGTTAAACTGTCAACACAAACTATCATGAATGATCTACTGCATAAAATATTACTTAGCTTCCAGCAGCTATGAAGGAATAAACAGATAAAAGATATAGAAATAACATAAAAAAAACACACACAGTTAAAGTTGTTATTTAATCAATTTGCCTCCAAAATATATCAACAAATATCATCTCAGAGGCTGAATAGGGTCCTAGCCAGAATGAGCTTTGACACACTATAGAACCACTTGCTGATGGGGTTTTTATACTGTCACAACAGCACCAATATGTGCAGAATGATGATTTGCATATTCCGGATGCATCAGATAGGAAAACCCTCCCTTTTCTGAAAGAATGAGTTTTGACTAGTACCCAATGTCATGTGATATACTTAAAAAAATCCCTATCTCATTACTCACCTGTGTTGTTCGTTTAGCCTACTTTTGTAGGGGGAAAAAAACATCCTGAAACCTTTTAGGTCTCATTAGCACAGCACTGCTCTCACACTATTTTAACTGAAAACACTAAAGCCATCCATTTTTGATTAGTAAGCACCCAAAAATCTCTGTTTAATCTGAAAGTTGCTTTCAACACAGCAGATGTGTATTTGTGTATTTGTGTATTTGGTCTCAAATGTGCAGACAAACTGTACATCAAAAATTATTTTTATTAAAATTAAAAAAGATAATAATCCCTTTTTATGTGTGTGTTTGAGTGTCTATGCATATTAGTGTGTGTGTTTGGTCCTCTAATTAGAGGCACAGACCCATTAGTCACGATGGAGACTTCCTGCACCCACACACAGACAATAACCAGTTCTGCCCCAGCTCTTTGATCCGCTATTATGTGTATGCACCGGACGCATCAACTCGCAGCACCTGTTTTCATTTGTGATTACATGTGGGAAGAAAATCATTCACAAAACTCCCTGAAGTCTGGGGACTTTTCAGCAAAAGAAAGCTTCCTACCTGTAATAAAAAAATGCTGTATTGAAGGAGTAATTTGTCTTCTAAGCATCAAAACACAAACTAAATGCATGCTTTAAAGGCACAAGAAAAAACTTTTAAGGTATGAATTGTCTCTGATTATTATTGTCCTATAGTCCATCATTAACAAAGCTCCAATGGGGGTTTCAAACTGTTCAACCAACTGACAAATTTCTTTCAATAAAATGCTTTAAGAAATGGTTGCCATGCATACAAGTTTCGTCTCTACAAAAAAAAAATCCTATTGAATCTAACATCACATATGGTTTTCTGTTATTAAGTAAAACATTAGTACATGTGTATCAACATACTATAAAGACATTGATTTTTACATTAGACTACAATATTTTATGCGTTTGAATAAGACATTAGTTCATGGATAAACACCAATCAGTTAATTAATTAATTAATTAATACTCACTCACTCACTTCATCGGGTACTTTTTGTCTATATAAAAAAAAATGTTCAGAAGGTAAAACAATGGTGCTTCATTAAAAATTGCTCTTCTAAATATAACAGTTTCTACAGAAATCACAGGAAAACTCGTTGGCTTACAAAATAATCCATTTTGGTATTGATTTACATAACTCTGAATACTTTCAGCAGCAATTTTCTCAGAATGTTAGGTTAGGTTTCATTTTATTGTCAGTGTAAGTTATGTTTCTTTGTTTTAGGTTTAAAAAAAAAAACGTCTATTGCAGCACATTCCTAGGAGACCCGATAAGCAGCAGCTGGCTCCTTTGTAGGAGAACATTCATCATTGGACTGAAGTAAGCAAGTCAGTCCAAAACTATACTGGCTGAAAACAACGCATGGTTTTGAAAAGAAATAGTAAAAAAAATATTTATTTAGACCACTTGACTCTGACACCCCCTAATACAATAATCCAATATAATTCTTGGTTTTATAACTCTACTAATTACCAAATGGAAATCTGGAATGTTGAACATTGAGCTGCATTGAGAAGGCATTAAGGTTTTTGAGACAACTTAAATGAACATAAAGAAACATGAAAAGAACCATCATAATTCTAGGGGAACTGCTGAGAGCAACAGTTCATTTAGGAAAATCTGTTGATGTCAGTGGGGGAAGTAACTGATATGAGGACGATTTTGATTACCAAAGACCATGAAGCAAGCCAGAGTGAATGTGAGGATGCATGGAGCTTAGTACAGGAGAAGGACTTACCTCTCATTATAAAGTAATATTTTATACTGAGAGGCTTCTTAGGCTATACTGAAAGAAATCTGCTTCCTGGTATGTTGAAGAACCTACAGGTGCTGGTCATAAAATTAGAATATCATGAAAAAGTAGATTGATTTCAGTAATTCCATTTAAAAAGTGAAACTTGTATATTATATTCATACATTACATACAAACTCATATATTTCAGATGTTTATTTTGTTTAATTTTGATGATTACAAATGACAACAAATGAAAATCTCAAATTCATCATATCAGAAAATTAGAATATTACTGAAGACCAATAAAAACAAAGGATTTATAGAAATGTTGGCCAACTGAAAAGTATGAACATGAAAAGTATGAGCATGTACAGCACTCAGTATTTAGTTGGGCCTCCTTTGGCCTGTATTACTGCAGCAATGCGGCGTGGCATGGAGTCGATCAGTCTGTGGCACTGCTCAGGTGTTATGATAGCCCAGGTTGCTCTAATAGTGGCTTTTAGCTCTTCTGAATTGTTGGGTCTGGTGTATTGCATCTTCTTCTTCACAATACCCCATAGATTTTCTATGGGGTTAAGGTCAGGAGAGTTTGCTGGCCAATTAAGAACAGGGATACCATGGTCCTTCAACCAGGTACTGGTAGCTTTGGCACTGTGTGCAGGTGCCAAGTCCTGTTGGAAAATGAAATCTGCATCTCCAAAAAGTTGGTCAGCTGCAGGAAGCATGAAGTGCTCTAAAACTTCCTGGTATGTGGCTGCGTTGACCCTGGACCTCAGAAAACACAATGGACCAACACCAGCAGATGACATGGCACCCCCAAACCATCACTGACTGTGGAAACTTTACACTGGACTTCAAGCAACGTGGATGAAGTGCCTCTCTTCTTTTCCTACAGACTCTGGGACCTTGATTTCCAAAGGAAATGCAAAATTTACTTTCATCAGAGAACATGACTTTGGACCACTCACCAGCAGTCCAGTCCTGTTTCTCTTTAGCCCAGGCAAGACGCTTCTGACGCTGTCTGTGGTTCAAGAGTGGCTTGACACAAGGAATGCGACAGCAGAAACCCATGTCTTTCATACGTCTGTGTGTGGTGGTTCTTGAAGCACTCACTCCAGCTGCAGTCCACTCTTTGTGAATCTCCCCCACATTTTTGAATGGGTTTTGTTTCACAATCCTCTCCAGGGTGCGGTTATCTCTCTTGCTTGTACACTTTTTTCGACCACATCTTTTCCTTCCCTTCGCCTCTCTATTAATGTGCTTGGACACTGAGCTCTGTGAACAGCCAGCCTCTTTAGCGATGACCTTTTGTGTCTTGCCCTCCTTGTGCAAGGTGTCGATGGTCGTCTTTTGGACAACTGTCAAGTCAGCAGTCTTCCCCATGATTGTGTAGCCTATAGAACTAGACTGAAAGACCATTTAAAGGCTTTTGCAGGTGGTTTGAGTTAATTAGCTGATTAGAGTGTGGCACCAGGGGCCATCAATTTTGAACCTTTTCACAATATTCTAATTTTCTGATATGATGAATTTGAGATTTTCATTTGTTGTCATTTGTAATCATCAAAATTAAACAAAATAAACATCTGAAATATATGAGTTTGTATGTAATGTATGAATATAATATACAAGTTTCACTTTTTAAATGGAATTACTGAAATCAATCAACTTTTTCATGATATTCTAATTTTATGACCAGCACCTGTATAGTTTGCATCCAATAATTAAATTAATCGGTCTTAGTTTTGGGGAATATATCAGAATTATGCTCCAATTTGCAGTTACTGATCTGTCATCATATTTCAATTTAACAAACTGCATTTTCTCTATGATCTTTTCCTGTTTAATGCAATTTAAATTGCTGATCTTGACTTGAACGGCTTCCAACAGACAGACGTGGAGCAATTTCCCCATTTTCACAGTGAAGACGTATGTGGACAGTGATGTGCGGAGGAGGAGCGGTGGATGTGGAACAGTTCCCATTGAAAACATGACTGTGCAAGTGCTCAGAGGATGTGGAATCTGGGGATAGGGGCCAAGCTCCTGAACAGCAACCCCAAACTTTCACCCCCCCCCCACCAAGTTTTACACTTGGCACATTGCCATCAGGCAAGTATTGTTTTTTTGCCAACAGAAAAACCCAGAGAACTTTGAACCCAGAAATGCATCACTCCAAACAATGCAGGCTTGTAGAATGCAGCAGAAACTGATGACCTCTTCGCACTATGAACTTGAGCACCACTGACCTCCTTCAGTCTACATAGCCTACCACATTGTGGATGAGTTGCTGTCATTACCAAACATTTCAGTTTTCTCATAATGTAGCTGACAGTTGACTAAAATATTTAGGAGAGATTAAATTTCAAGACTGGATTAGTTGAACAGGTGGCATCCTATCACAGTTCCACTCTGGAATTCACTGAGCTCCTGAGAGCGATCCATTCCTTCACAAATGTTTGTAGCAACAGTCTGCATGCCTAGGTGTTTGATTTTATACATCGGTGGCCACTGAACTGATTGGAACACCTGATTCCAATAATATGGATGGGTGAGCAAAAACTTTGGCAATATATCATATTTTGCATAGAAGAAAGGCCCCTTTTACTTTTGGAGAGAAAAAAAAAATCCTTTCAGCTGTTGTTGCAGAAAAAGGTGAATAAAAAAATGTAAATATACACTTAGTGTATTCAAAATGATAAAGTCTAAGTCTAAATTAACATTTACCTCTGTTCAGTTTTGTGTTGTTCTGCCACATTATGCAGTGGCAGAAATACATAGATATATGGGGTTCTAATGTGAAAATGAATGCTGATAGTTTCAAGAGGGATGTTTTTTATAGGCATTGTAATGGCTAAAGCAACACTGTTCTGCTATTAATAATCTACTTATTCCTTTTGGTCTTTTGAAAACAATTATACCTCTTTTTATTACTCAGAGGGCTAGATCAGGTTTTGGATAATGTGAAGACTCTGTATGGGTCTAAAATTTGGCCTCAGCCCAATCACTTGGTCACAGTAGGGGAGTTTTATTGTCTGTCACAAGCAGAGCTCCAGCTGTGAAATCACTGATTGGGTGATAATAGAAAAGCAACAAGCTTGTGCAGAACATTTGTCTGCCCTGTCTGATTTGGTGTGAAATTGTCATTATAAAGACATTTTTAGATGAAGAGTCCTGCTTGCAAAGATTTATTACTCAGGAACATTGCAGTGAATCCTATTTAAGTTATAATTCCCCATTACTTTGGTCAAAAATAGGACAGGCACTAGATATAAT